GCCAAAACAAAACAATGCAATTGGAGGGTCTGGCAGCTCTCCCCCCATGCCTCCGCCCCCACCCCCACCCCCACCCCCACCAAAAAAAGAAGGAAACACAGCAGAGATCTCTGAATACAACTAGCCTTGGCATTTTCTCTGAAGGAGAAGAGAGCCAGTGAGAGGCCCTTAGCTGAGGAAAACACACACATATTCAACAATGCTTGCCAGGAGTAGTACAAGCAGGCAGATAGTTATGGGAAGGGACATGGGTGTACATTTGCCATTCAGCTGCTCGCTAGGATGAAGAGAATCGTTCTTGCCTCAGGCAAGTTTACGTTTAAGTAAAACATAGTTTGGTCAGTCCAAAATGAGTTCTATCGCTTGCAGTCTTTATTTATCCACCTGTAATCCGTGTAATGCAGAGCACAACTGTAACTTCAAACCAGTTGTTAAACTAATTAACTGTAACTCTAAATTAATTGTTTAGCTACTTGGCTGCCATTTCTTGGTAGAAAATTAGGGTATAAAATACTTTTCTAGCAATGGAATGGAGTAAATTTAAAAACCAGATTAAATGGGAAAGCTATCCATCATTAACTGAAATAAAGCCCCATGTCAACAGATCCTTAATTAAGACAAGGGACAGAAATCCTAAATAGGTAGGATGGTTAGTTCCTATCTTTTAACTACAGTTAACAGGGAGTCAGTTTGTTGGGTACAGTTAGCTCTCCTACAAAGAACCCATTATTAATCCAAGAAGGTAGAAAACACAGTAATATTTAAAGTATGTAAGAATCTTTATTTTAAAATATCTAGCATTTCTGATGGAAACAGTGGCTAGAATCCAACAGAGTACATGTGTCCTCACCAATTCCCTTGTGTGAGAGCAGGACCCACTCTTTGCACAACAGAGATGTGACATTTTCTAGAAGAAGCCCTGAAATGGGTGGAAAGGCTTGTGCAAGGTCTGTCAGCTTGACCTATTTCAGAAATGAATATTTTTGCTAGCCTCCAGTTACCACAGAAGCACTAGATCTTAATTCCACAAGTGGTATGTGCTGCTTACATACAAGAACTAGCAAGGCATAAGACAATCAATTGAGGCCTAAATGCCCCATTGGTTTCTGCCCATTTCCCTTGATGAGCAAAGGGTTAACAGCACCTACCTTCCTCTCTTGGTAAATTTATCAAACATTTAATTCAAATTATTTAACCATCACCTATAAAAATTGGTATCTTCACAAGTGCAAGCAATAGTATTTTCTGTACAGTTTTCTACATTATTTTATAATCAGCAAAGATGTCAAAACCAAATCACTACTATTCATGTCCCACCATCTCCACACAGAGCAAATTAAAAAATGCTGTAGAATTATGCCCTTTTGGAAGCAAAATTCCTAAGAACAGCTTAAGTAATTTGAAAATCTGAAAATCCTATTTAAAAATATTTCACATTTCTACTATGTTCCTTCTTTTTGACCTTGCAGCAATAAAACTGAAATAGCTGTAAAGACTGACTAGATACTTCAGAAATTTCTGATGTTATTAAATAGCTCATCAATGTGGCATCAACTGTCAATCATGAAATGAAATTTAAATATGCTGTTTATTTAGTATGCATTTAAATATAGAGTCATATAGCAAGTACAGGATCTGAACAGAAATGTAAATAAGCATGAATGATTGTTGCATTGCTTATCTGAATTAGTGGGCTTTTAGAAATATTTGTGGTGGGGCTTGAAACTATTCCAAAGACATAAAGATTTACGAGTAAGCAGGGAAAGGGGGAATGAAGAGATTCATTTAAGTTAGGTGTCCATAGTGGAGGGGTGGGGGAAGTTTAGAATTTATGCTGTAAAAAAAGTCCTAATGCAAAATAGAACAATGGCATAGCCACTGTGTTGTTTCATCAAGATAATCATATTAATGTTGCACAGATGGCAATTGTTATTCCTGCTTTACACATATAATCATAAGATGACTGAGCATACCCATCTTCATCCTCTCATGCTTGCACCATAGGTAATGTGTGAACACATACAGAGTGACAAGCATTTGATATTGAAACAAGATATAGTTCTTGCCCAGAGCAGAATATAGATCTCCATTAATGATGTTATTTTTAGGGCAAGCTGAAAAAATATATTGAAGTATTTTGCTCCAATACAGGGAATTACATTTGTTTGACCTTGCTTGTAGCCACATCACCTTGTTTACTGGTGTATTTGCACCCATTTCATGTTAAATTGCCAGCTGAAAATTAATCTTACATGTTTTATGAGGTCAGTTTTATCATCTTTATATCTCTGTACGTAGCCTTAAAAAGAAAGCTTCTGCCTACAATGTAAATGAAAATAAATAATATGAGGAACACAAGAAGTTTCTGATGCATCCTCCAATCTACTTCCCATTTTTGTTCCCTCATTATTACTAGATAAAAGTGGTCATCACACACATGCATTTTCCTAGGTTGGGAGGTGGGGGAAGAGCACAAGACTGTTTCACAACTAAGAATGTGTTAAATTGCCATCTGTAACCAAAAAGCTAAGATGAACACATACATATGTATACCCAGATGAGAATATCTAAGCAAATATTTAAAATACTTGGACAGTTGGAATGATTTCAAGTATTAGAGCCAATTGGCTAGACTTCAAAACCTAAGGAAAGTTTAAATGTATCATAAAACAATTCCTTTGTAGTCATGTAATAGAAACATTAGATTGACAGTAATAGCCTATGAAGTATCTTTCTTTTATAGAAGTTAGGAAAAGGGTTAATGTAGTATGTATCATAACTTCATGAGGCTTTAGCAAGACTTTAACTCAGGCCCAAGGGCCTTTCTGAGTGACACTTTTAGCATCAACAATTCTGTGGGACTATTTAGAATCTAAAAGGCTTTCCTCTGTTAGCACAGGAGGTCCACCTGTCTTCCTAAAGCCAGCATTTTCTTCATTCAAACATGAACAAGTTGTTGCTGGGATAATGCAATATCCACTCACTAGGTGGGGTAAACAGTGGTTGACCATGTTTTATGGGCTACTGATGCATTCTATATCATTAACTGACAAGACTTTCTCCAAGGATTATACCATTTTGTGATTTGATTTTAGTCATATATTTATATGTGACATGCATATGAGATTTCATGTAAATCTTCAAGCCTTTGTCCCCTCAAAACTAAGGGGTGACTCCAGACCCATTTCATGGATGCTCTTTTTCTGTTAGGGTTGGGTGGGAGACCTCAAATTCCCCATTGTTGCAGGTCCCACATCATCTGAATGCGGTTTTTTTATTAATAAAGATGGCATACATGCATGACTACAAATACCTTTTAAGTCTCACACAGCCCTCTGTACCCTATCCCACTGTAGCTTGATACAGCACTATAACAGCTTTTTACATAATTCCTGCATGTTCCAATTCAGTATAATTCTTTGCACATGTAACACAGAGATAAGTCTAGTCACAGAAATATAAATTTGGCCCTGCTTAACATTTGCTCTTTAATACCTAGCTTTATGTGTAGAAAACACAGCCTCTTTAAAATACAAAATATTTACAAAATAACAAGACGATATGAACAAACAGGGCAGATACCTTTACTTCTCTTTATTGCACAACCATTCCTGAATGGGCCGTAGAACACTAGGCTTGTACTATAAGGAAATGAACCAGAAGACACGGAAGACTTAAAAAGTTAGAAGGAAAGATAAGGATCACTGGATTCAAGTTGAATTGTTGCTATGAAAATACTTTTAACCACATAATTCCTTTTCTTTGGGGTTAGGAAGAAACCCTAGACAGGCCTTTGGGTATCAGGGAAGCATTCATACCTAAGCATAGGGACTGTTGTATGTGTCCTGTGAGGTTCTTTTTAACCCTAGAATTTTTAGTAGGTTAGATTATAGTAATATAGTTCAAAGCAGTGGCGCATACCTACTCCTTGCTCTAATCTCTTAAAATGCTGAAAGTTTAATGTTTGGCAAGATAAACATTATGTGCTATAAAAGAAAATAAATGGAAGATATATTTCCTTCATAATTATTATGACACAGATAATGCAGAACACACACAGACAGGGACAGATAAGCCTGAATGCAACCAGTACATCTGACTGTTTCTGCACTAAACTCTCTACAAGATTAACACTTTTTAAAGCACAATTTTCTGGCATTTAATACTGCTCTTTATTCTTAATCCGCTGCTGACCTAGGGACACAGCCTGTCAAATCAATGTATCTTCAAACCACTGAACTGCAGAGGGCCAGGCAATCCAGCACAAGCAAATCTAGAAAATGGTACAAATCCATCATCAAAACACACAAAATGCAAGTTATATGGCTACCCAATAGAGGAGCCAATGAAGCACTTTTAAGGGCAGGCACCACCAGATTAAAGCACTCTCAAATAGCCTTGAACGGAAAGAAAATGAAAGGGGAGGCAGAAGTACAAGGGATGGAAGAAGAATACGGGGAAATCAGTGGAAGAAGTTGAGCATGCCAGCCCCTTTCATCTCATTCACAGGGCCTCTCAAGAAGCAAAACGGCCCACAATGTACCCATCCAAAGTCAGCCTCTCTCACTGTAATGTCCAGAATTGGAATGACAGTGGAAGTGCCAAAAGCCTTGTAGGAACCCAAACGCAAAACAGGACGAGGGATGCTGAGCGGAGAGTGACCGGTGGCGGACCCTGCTTCCCACGGTAACGTGTGAACGCCGCCGGAGCGCCCACAGCACCGGCAGCCGCCGATGCTCACGGCCGCCTTCCCGTCCGTGCCCCGCCGACCGCCCCGCTCCCTCCGCCGCCCAGGGTCCTCCGGCGGCGTGGCCGACGCCTACCTCCTGCCACCGCAGTGCTGCCAGCCCGCTGCCCCGAGCGCCGCCTTCGCCGCAGCCGCCTCCAACCGGGCGCCAGCCCAGCCCTCCCGCCCCGCGAGGCATCTCCGAGGCGAGCGACGCGTCCCCCGCCGCGCCAACCAGCAGCCCGCCGGCCCGCCCGCCCGCCGGCACACTTACCTGGCCGTAGTAGGGCTTCCTGAACCAGGCCCCCGCGAAGAGCCTCCTCGCCATGGCAATGGCACATCCCCGCAGCGGGCTGCAGCAGTCTGAGGCGGAGAGGAGGCGCGTTCCCGCCCAGCCGGCCTGAGGCGAGGCGAGCGAGGCGAGGCGAGGCGAGGCAGGCGGAGCGGCCACCTGGCTGCCTCCGAGGCGGCTCGCGCTGCCAAGGAGAAGGCAGCCAAACGTGCCCGAGCGGGGCGGGCGGCTCTGCTCCCCGCTCGCTGCCTCCTCCTCGGCTCCGCCCCTCTTGGCAACTGTCACAAAAGAGGCGGGAGAAGGGCGGCTTTCTCCGCTTGGCCTCACCCTGAGAGGGACGGGGGGAGGCAGCGAGGGCAGGCGGGCTGCGCCTTGACCCGAGCGGATTGCTGGAGGCACCTCGGTCGCCTCTGCGCACAGGGAGCGCACTCGCCCGCCTTCCTGCCTCCGCCGCGGCTTTCTTTCCCCCCTCTTTCTCCTCCTTGGCCGAAAGGGGAGGCTTCCGGTTCTGGAGGGCGGCGACGTGGCGCGCCGCCCGGGCTCCCCGCCGCCGCCGCCGCCGCCGCCGCCACCAGCAGCGTCTGAGGGGCTGAAGGGATGTGGGCGGGGACCCTGGGCTGAGCCGGGGAGTCTTCGGCTCGGCAGAGCCGCTTCGCGCTAGCCGGGCTCCCCGCTGCAGAGGCGGCGTCGCGGGTGGCCCACGAGGGCTGGAGCCCCGCATCTGCCCACCGTCCTGCTGCCCCGGAGCATTTTCTGAGGTTAAGATACGAGGCTCCGCTGCTCACATCTGAGGCCCCTGGATCAGCTGGCCTTCCGTCCACAGGTGCTTCCCTGCCTGTCGCCTGCCTTGAATCTTAGAGGGTCCCCCCTGCTCCCCTGGAATCAAATGCCCTCCTCTCTGTACATAGGACGATGCACAGCATGATGGTCCTTCGGAGCAGGTGCGCACGTGCACACACACTCAGATTTTAGGGCAGACCTAACTTAGCAAAAACGGATGCATGCATTTCATTTGGTCCTGGGGCCTGAGCCCTGGATCTTTTGAGTACCTACCACCACCTCTGTGCGTTGATGATAGGGAGTGAAGCATTTTAGGGCATATGTAAATTAAGCGTTTTTTTTTTTTTTGCTTTATCTTCTGCCCGAGTGTCTAAGCCCCTAATCCCCTGTGGAGGCAGAGCAGAGAGTTGGACCTGATGGCTTTATAGGCCGCTTCCAACTCTAGTTCTCTTTTCAGCCGTCTTCCTTTCCATGCTACTATCCTCCCAGCAACCTTCGGATAGTTTAGGCTGAGAGTCAAGTCGATCAGAACCTGGAGTTCCTGTATCTGTCCAACAGCAAGCACTGTGCCAAACTAGGAACAGTTCATCTGAGGCAACTTTCCCTGTGACAGTGCTGCAATTATGAGTGCTTTAGCTTAGTATTGTTTATCATTTTGGAAACTGCTCAGATATGGAGCACTATGCAAATAGAGTAAATGAATGATGAATAAAACACTAGCTTCTGGTAGCTGCTGTATGATCAACTTATAAAGGAATCCTCCTGGGACAGGGGACAGGAGAGTATATAAATTAACCTTAAAACATACAGTTGACCTTCTAGTGGGCTGCAAATAGAAAACATGCTTAGGAATGAACAAACTTGAGTATACCAGAAAGCTCACTAGTTGCACATGTAGAACTTCAAATAAGTCACTGGTTGTTTGACCAAAATCTACAATGCATAGGAACGTGCATTTAAGCCTTCCCTGAGATCTAGTTTTTTTAAGATATTATTTGCCATATGGCTGTTGGATAAGCTACGATGTATGAGAGAGTGTTACTGGCAGGACCAGCTCCAGGTTTGAGTGGGCCCTGGGCATAGGTTCTCTGGTAGATCCTTCCCTCTATCATGTGGGTCTTGGTAAGATGGACTAATGGCAGAAGCTCCAGGAAGACAGCTTAGGCTAGATGCTATTTAAATTTCCTACAATACTATCTGTTGCTACAGTGTAGTGTGGGAAATTTAAAATATGTTCCTGGTCCATCAGTGGTGATGGAGGATCATGCTGGGGTTCCAGCAGCTGGCCAAGGTTGCCACATGGTGCCAGTACCAGCACTGAAAATTGTGGTACTTGCTGTTGCAAATATGCGCTCTGTATGTTTTGTCCCTATTTATTGATGAGACTTCTATCCAACTCATGTCAGTTCTTACTACTGTCTTCTTCAGGAAGAAGAAAATAGTCTAATGGTAAAGATGCAGAGACATAGAGCTTGTTCTGTTCTGTTTAGAGAGATTACATTGGAGAAAGTCTTCAGTGAATAAATAAACTTTATTCTAATTGCTGTGAACCAGCAAACCTTCTTCTGGCTCTTCTAGCTAGGACTGACTAGAATTGGTTCTCTGTGTTTACTTAAGTTATCCTTTGTATTAAAGGGGCATCTTTCTTCCCAGGAGCTTTAGCTAAGCTCATGAGATCTTCTGATCTTTTGAGAAGTGCAGCAAATCTGTCCCACTTCTAATACCTGTGCCAAAAGTTGGACACCAATGCCATAAACTAATTTTACCAAATGTTTCAATTTAATCTTATATAGTTCTAGCAAATTAAAAGGGATTGATTCCTTCAGTATAGATATTTATATGATGACACAAATTTCTTTATGTATTTAATTTCTATACTGCCCAACAGCTGAAGCTCTCTGGACAAATTGTTTAAATCCTAATCCTTCACCATTAAGAAGCTTCCCTAGTTGCATGGTGGTCTCTGGCTTGCCTCCCTTTAGTCTAATGACTGAATCTGCTGGACATCTGTCATCCATGCATTCAAAGTGATTCTGATGCAAATCCTAAATAGCTGCATTCTTTGAAAAGCAGATGTGGGCTTTTCCTTTCACTCCAGCAATTCTCCATTAATAATAGACATTAAGATGATTACTCACAATGAACAATGGAGAGAAACAATAAGAGGTTTACTGGCAAGTGAATAAAATTGCACTTGCATCTGCATATGTGTCACAGAACAAGCCTCTTACATCACCGATAAATACAATACAGCCGACAGTTCATGGCAAGCTTTATGTAACCATAAGTGAATTAACAAGCTACCAGTGTAGTTCACACCTACTTTGTAAATCTGTCAGTGAATTTAAACATTAAATGTGACTTCTTTTCCGTAATGTTATGTCAAAGCAGAAAGTATGTTCATGTAAGGGTAAGTTTGTTAAAGCATACACTTAAGCCTCATGCTAATTCAAGGTGTGTTTAATCGTGTGCTTCCTTACTTACAAATAAGTTCACTGAACTCATTGGGACTTAGGTTGACTGAGACAGATTGATTTAGGGTTGGTAGTGTAGCAGGACAAATTCCTGCTGCATTGCAATTTCACTTCAGTGGTACAAAGTCCTGAAGAAAGGAGGGTATACTGAGAGTAAATATGCATCCTTTCAAGAGGCAGAAGGACGGGAGTACATTTTCCTGCTAAATTTACATGAGACAGCCATATGTTAAAACATACACACATATACTGTGCTTTGTGCTTTCCCTGAATAAGTAAGACCACTGCAATCAAACTACAAATAATAGTGCAACATTAATGTATGAAATATCTCATGCATACGTGCAACTTTTCCTTATAAGGTAAAATATTCACACTTTGATTAAAATTTGGTATGGTCAGCAGATATTCTCTCCTTAAACGTCTACTAGAAGTACCTAGAAAGACATGCAACATAATCATAAAACCAGATGCTATCACCAGAAATTACAACATTGTAGGAGATAAAACAAATTGTTACTCTTTCACCAGTATTTTAAGGTTTAAACAAGGGATATTTATTAATTATTTATGTTTGCAAGAATAGAAGAAAAACTAAGATTTTCACCTATGGTTCATTTCTGTGCTTATTCTAAGTAATCCATCACCTGGATCTGCAAAAGCTGCATGGTTTACCAAGAGAAATCTATCCTAGGTTCTATTTTGAACCTTTGAGGGTACAGTTTTATCAACTGAGCCCTCAGTGCTCATGTGCTTCCAAACCCAGACCTGTGGAGGCAATTTTAGCTAGTTGTCCATTTTGCACCTTTTGGCAGCCCCCAGTCTCCCTCCTGCCTCTTTCTCAGTCTGGAGGCATCTGGTTGGCCAGTTGGGGGAATGGGATTCTGAACTAGAGAGGCTTTTGATCTGATCCAACAGGGTTTCTCTTATGTTCTGTTTGCTAAGATAGAAGAGGAGGAAGCTGTGCTCAGAGGAAGTGTTGCATGCATCTCTGTGGGCAAAAGTCAGGAAGCTTTCACCAAGACCACTCCCATTTATGTACCAGAGTAACAAAAAGAAATCTGAGATTTAGTGCAATACCATCCACATGACTACCACTATCAGAGAGAGTGTTGCAATGCAGTAAATTATATACCTTGACTAAATGGCAAAACAGCCTGATGAGTTACCTGTTGGAGAGACAAAAGAAACCAAGGCTGTGTCCATTCACTTAGAGGCAGATCCCGTTAAATGTATCAGGATTTACCTCTGAGTAAATGTGCGTAGGAAGAAGATGCAAGGCTGTCATTCCACACACACATAAGTAAGCCCCATTAAACTCAATGATATTTACTTTAAATAAAAAAAATGTAAGATCACGTGGTAACTTGCAGCCTATGTGGACTAACCTGGAAGTAAGCCTGGTGAACGTAATGGGACATGCACGTTTACTGTTCACGTTGCCAGACTTTTGGAGGATTTCACTAAAAATAAAATGTATGTTTTTGTCACACTGATCTGCAATTCAGAGGTTCGGGAAATCATTTTCTTGTCAGGGCGAATAGGTTTATTTACAATTGAATGCATGGATCCATGGGTGCCTAAGAAGGAACACCCCATGTTAATTTCCTTAGGGTTGTATAGAATACACAAAAGGGGAGTTAATACAGTACAAAGGAAGGTCATTGGATACATGTCACAGTACCATAAAGACAAGTTATATTTCACTCTTTTTAGATGCCTTTGACAGGCCTTCTAAACTAAAGTTACCTTGAACAGGCTGGCCAAGTTAAGTAGACAAAAAGG